TCAGTAACACATGAAATAGGTGAAAAATCCTTAGAAAAGAGGATGCCAACACCTCCACTATTACTGCTCTTATGACTGAGAAAAACTTCTCCATCCCACTCCTTATTCCAGTCAGTTTCATTTTCAGTTGTGCTATGTGTTTCTTGTAAGAAAATAACATTTAGTTTCTTAACTTTAAACCAATTAAAAAGAGAAATTCTTTTCACATCCTCTCTGGCACCATTAATGTTTAAAGAACCCAGCTTTATGTCACACATGACAAAAAATAGGTCTACAAATAAACAAGACAATAAAATAAACCGCAAAAAAGAAAAGACAAAACAACAAACACTTAAACATCATTTGCTATTTGTGTTTTAACTTTCACCATTAACTTCTTAAGACGAAATATTTCCTGATCAGTGTAACAGCCTCTCGCGGCTCCACCGGTGCAGCGGCTCCGGCATCAGACCCAGCGGGCGGCGTCTCCACCGCACCTGCAGCCGCCCGGCCCGCGCGTCTTTCATTCGGACACAACCGAATCACGTGCCCCACCGCTCCGCACCCAAAACACTTCATCAGTTCCGTAGTTACATGTACAGTATAATCAAAACCCTCAACCTTGAACTTAAAAACCAAGTTCAACTCTTCATCGTTTTTTTTAACCATGGTTTTATTACAGTAAAAGTGTAGTAAACATGGTACATTTGTGGTTACCATGGTTTAGTTACAGTAACCATGATTATTTTATTTATTTTTGTAGTAAAACTATGGTTAATTCTCGTAAGGGGGTATTTTTCTTGTTTGTGGTACAATATAATGTTATAATTTATTCATTTGTTTTCAGTTTTTTTTATAATGCACGGTCAGATTTAATGTTATTTAATATCGTTACTCGTGAATTCATGTGGGACATTTACTAATATGAGATATTTACATTTCCTAAACACCTTAAAGCAATTTAAGGCCAAAAAAAAGTCACTTTGGATGAAGCATTTAGTAAATAAATAATAACCCAAAAATATACACTGAATATAACTAAATAGCGTTGCATTGCTTGCTAAGAAGTATGCTGTTTGTCAAACTGTAAACACTGAAAGAAGTAAATATCATCCTAAGGCAAAGCTTGAAAACGATTGTCCAGTCTTCTTTTCATTTTAGACATGAGAATAACCACAACGAAAACACATTTCTCACAACATTTAATTATTCCATTACATATTATTTATACATTCACTACAAAATTCCCTCTTTGTAGTTTCAGCAAAGCTGCAGATGTATGACGCACATTCGACATGAATTCAAGTAAAAGTATTTCCAATAAAATAATTAACACTCGAGGAAAAAAAAGAGCTATATACTCAAATATACAGTACTTCACATTTAAATATATATCATATACATCCTTTGCCTTTAAATGGCTTTATATTATTCCCTAAGCTCAAATATATTGAAGTACACCCAGCATTCAATGCCCACTTGATGTTGTGTAGCTTAAAATGAGCATTAAATCTGCATATTGCATGTCCCTTCGGTTTTTAAACAGGCAGACAGTCAAACAAGTCGATGTTTGTAGTAAATAAGTGAGTATGTGCCACAAGGACTATGTATTACTTAGTGTAAAGAGTAAAAGACAATTCAGTCCCCCCTCTACGGTAACTCCAGGAGGTGGTTTTTCACATACAAGTCTTCTGTGATCTGGTAGACTTCAGCAATTAGAGGCAAAGACTCTCCCAACAGAGCAACCACCTGCGTGTGATCACCCGCATTCATCACATTAAAGAATGTGTCACGCCCTGGAAGGGCACAGAACGCCACGCCGACAGCTTTCCGGATGAGCCAGGGGTGGTGCTGAGCCAGAGACTCGTTATAGGCATCAGAACACATGACGGAGGTCTTGCCGTCCTCGGTGCTGGTTCGCAGTCTCTCCAGGAACAGCTCCAGCCAGAGCAGAGCCCGATGGAGCCTCAGAAGAGTGCGGCAGCCGGATTCTGGGTGGCTGCCTCTTTTGGTGAGGTCCACCAGGTCGTTATCCAGCTCATACTTCACCATGGACTGGATGGTGACATAATAGGATCCGTTTTCTCCTGAAAGGAAGTTCTCTAGGATCTGGATTTTGCTGACCACGTCCTTGGAGATGAAGGAAAACACGTTCCCTAAACTATTCATGAAGCTGATGGGAAAAAAGAGGGATTTTGATTATTAAATTTTTTTTTTAAATTGCTCATAGTCTTTATATTCAAATGGCTTTCCTACATTTTTTGACCAATTAATTTTACAGGTATTTGTAATTACAAGATACAGTTTTTTTTTTTTTACAGCTGAACATTAAAAGCTTTTAAAGTACATGTCTAAGATTTCCATTAATTGTCCAAGTTCTGAAATAATAATTAAATATAAAATATTCTTAACATTTCACATCACTTCTTTAAATATACCATAATGTAAAACAGTAATAAAACATGTACTCACGAGACCAGCTCTTGCCATCCTGCTATATAATATTTAATGTAAACCTCCTTATTCTCACTCAGACTTGATCTGAATGTTTCCAAAACCCTTTGAAGACTGAATGTATCTGCCATGTCTGTACTTTCTAATTAAACTACCACGAGATCAAATTTGTGGACAAATTCTTACAACAAAATCGACAAAAAAAACCTATATATTAATTTTCAGTATCTTCAGTATGTGTTCTTCATTGGGATAATATCGCTGTAAACGCTTTTGCTTTGCTTTGATCCTCTCTTCCGGGATTTTCCTGCGTTCTTTAAGCAACGTAAGCAACATTAGACCAATCAAATCATGGTTTTCATGTCACATGACAAGAAGTTCCATGTGATTGGACTTTGGTCTTGGCCCTCTGTGGTTGTTCAGTAAATTTCAACCAATGGGATTAAAGATAGCGTAGTCACGCACCGACGTCACATTGGACGTCTTCTTCCATGATGCGGCGCTTGAGGGCTCAGAAAGTCGAATTCTCCATTGAGCCGCATTCAAATATATGGAGGCTGTTTGCCTTTTTTTGGAGACAATTATGCATCGAAAAGAATAACATTTTTAATATATTAACTCTACAGATTTGTATCTGACAACGGAATTTAAATACGACTCTGAATCTGAATGAAAATTATTTTTTAAAAATCCTAGTCCAGAAATCACAAACGAGTATGATTGGTTCAAGCTGACCAGCGCTGTGAAAAGTAACAGTTACCACGTGACTTGGCTGTTTTAGTCTGATTCACTAGTGGACCTGATAGTAATTTATTCTTGAATAATAATAATAAAAGACTTTATTAGCCATTAAATTGAAAACACACAGTAAAGAATTAAAATAAGAAAATTACTCTTTAGAAACGATAGACAACGAATGGGCCACTAAGTCACGCCCACATCGATACCCGTATTGATATTCTACTCTCTCGTTCTGTGGCGTTATGGCAACGGCGTGAAGTTGTTTAGCTTGTTGTGCTAACCTGTTTCTGAATGATCCACTATTTGAAGACTTTAAAAGTCTTTACATTTGGTTTACACCCCTGGCTGGTGTGCAAGCTGACTGACATGCACCCATCAAGTGTTCATATCCGGCTAATGTACAGTTAGTGTTTGACCATCAGTCTCTTGTAAACATAAAACATTCTTTTCTGAGCTTTTCAAAGCTGTCAAGATATCAACGTTACGCCTTTAGGTAAGACGTTTGCTTCATTTTTAAATAAAACGTCTTAAAAACGTTAATAAACAAGCAATTATTAAACATATAATGCATAACAAATACTATTGTGCAGGAATCAACGGTATTAGTAGTTGTATATATATATATATATATATATCATAATAGGTAAATATTACATAAATATTATAATATAAATTCATTTATATCTAAAGTTTAATTCTAAGTTCTTCTAAATGTGTGTATCTGTTGTTTTGCAGGGGCTGGTCAGGATGTCGGCCGCAGCTGTATTTTGGTCTCCATCAGAGGTAAAAACATTATGCTTGACTGCGGCATGCATATGGGCTATAACGACGATGTGCGTTACAACAGTTATTGCTATCTTCACTTGTTTGTATTTTGAGTATAATAGTTGAGTACTATGCCCGTAACTTTTGTATATATATATATATATATATATATATATATATATATATATATATATATCATAATAGGTAAATATTACATAAATATTATAATATAAATTAATTAATTCTAAGTTCTTCTAAATGTGTGTATCTGTTGTTTTGCAGGGGCTGGTCAGGATGTCGGCCGCAGCTGTATTTTGGTCTCCATCAGAGGTAAAAACATTATGCTTGACTGCGGCATGCATATGGGCTATAACGACGATGTGCGTTACAACAGTTATTGCTATCTTCACTTGTTTGTATTTTGAGTATAATAGTTGAGTACTATGCCCTTAACTTTCTGTGTTCATTTTCAGAGACGTTTCCCAGATTTCAGTTACATTACTCAAAACGGTCGCCTCACTGAGTTCTTGGACTGTGTTATTATAAGGTTAGTTATGGTGTTTTGAGTTGATTAGCTGATTGGCATGTCACCATATTCTAATTTGTTGAGATAGTGAATTGGTGGGTTTTTGTTAAATGTGAGTCAAAATCATCACAATTAAAAGAACCAAAGACTTAAACTACTTCAGTCTGTGTGCATTGAATTTATTTAATACATGAGTTTCACAAATTGAGTTGAATTACTGAACTTTTCCATGACATTCTAATTTATTGAGATGCACCTGTAAATATTAACATTAACATACAAATAAATTTTAACAGGATTTCTTATGAAACTATCTCACAGGTCTATTGCCTGATGCCAAAAGACATCGTACCATGCATGGTACATTAATAATGAAGGACAATGTAAGTCAGCATGGCTCTTTAAGTCTGATTTCATAATTTAGTTGACTAATATAAGGTTTCAGACGTTGTTTTCTGAATATGTGTGTCTGTGTAGAGTCTGCGGCTGGTTTCTTGAAGAACTGGGTCTCGGTGAACATCAGCTGCGCTTCACCTGCCGTGTGCAGCTCCATGACCCCCACAGCGACACCGACACACTCAGCCGCATCTACACACACCTCAAGAGGTCAGCGAACTATACCGCACACACACTTTTCTATCGCAAAAACGAACGCAGTTAATCATGCCCTTCTCACCTGCATGTAACAGGGCTAACTAAAACTATTAAAAACATTTTGTTAATTGAAATAAAACAGAAATAAAATTAAATATAAATATTAGAACAGATATAAGTATTAGAAAAATTTAATTAATCAAAAATTCAAGAAATGTTCAAATAATTAAGGTTGAAACACCAGATTACTTACTAGAAATAAATCAAATGAAAACTTAATCTAAAACTGCAACTGAAATAAGAATAAATTAAACCTAAATAGTAATAATTAAAAAAATAAAAATGACAAAAGCAAAACACAGTTACTAAAGATTAAACTAAAAAATAAATTAATTCTAAATATTTATAAAAACAGTTTGTATTATTGTTTTTTTGTATTATTTATATAGATGATATAAATAATAATAAAAACAACAATGTATGTATATTACATAACGAGAAATTTTCTAACCTTCAGATTAATTCAAGCTTGAAGGTCATGTTTTTCCAAGTCTGCAGTGGCGTGGGATGTGTTATACCCTGATTTAACACTTAGGGGTTAGGTGAGATATCTTCAGCAGTTTTTACTTTGGAGAACATTGTTGTTCAGTCATTTGTGTGACGTGAAAATGAAAGGAGACTAATGGAAACAGGGCTCAAAAAATACCACAGCAAAGTACAGCTTCATTTAAGTTGGGGGGGGGGGGGAAACTTTTTTTTTTTTTTTAAGTTAGTTGAGTCGCTGCCGATAGCCTTGTGGGCAGCGTGCCGACATATAGCACCGCTGCGCTACGGGCATCCCGAGATCGAGTCCCGGCTTGTGGACCTTTCCCGATCCCGCCCCCACTCTCTCTCCCACTTCGCTTCCTGTCATTACTCAACTGTCCTATCAAAGTCAAAGCAAAAAAACGCCACTTTGCATGCATACATCCATCAGATTTTATGTTGTCAGAGATTGAAGCAAACTATGAACATGTCTGATTGATGAACAAATGACTCTTATAAACCTTTTTTTTAATAAGTCAGTCGAAGAGATTCACAAAGCAGTGTCAAACTTGTAGTTTGAATCCAAATCACTTAGTAATCATTCAGAGCTGTTACTGGTTTCACAACGACTGGATTCCCTCACTGAACATGAGTCATTTATTCAGGAAAATTTGATTCAAATCAAACTTGCTACTATTTTGGGTTTTTGGAGACTTGCATCAGTCTATTTACTGGCTGGTTGTTCATTTGACAAAGTGTAATTAAATATTCATGACGAAGCTTTGGTATAACTACGACGGCGTTTTAGTGCCATGTTAAAAACAAAATCTAAGATTACGAGGTTAAAGTCTTAATATTTAGAGAAAATCTAAATTATGAGAATAAAGTCATAGCAATACGAGAATAAAGTCGAAATATTTTGAGAATAAAGTCATAGCAATACGAGAATAAAGTCAAAATATTTTGAGAATAAAATCAAAATAATGACAACTTCTCCTGGTGCTCCCAATCCGGGCCATTTGCATGCGCAATATAGGCTATAGTCTCAAAATATTCTCAATATTATAACCTTAATCGCTACGATTTAATTCTCGGAATTTCAACTTTATTCTCGAAACATTTCGACTTTATTCTCATAATTTCAACTTTATTCTCGAAATATTTCAACTTTATTCTTGTAATTTCGACTTTATTCTTGTAAAATTTCGACATTTCTCATAATATTTCGACTTTATTCTCAAAATATTAAGACTTTATTTATAAACTTTAAAATAAATCTTTTTTTTTTTCAATGTGGCACTAACACGCCGTCGTATGTAGCAAATTTAAATAAATTCTAATATTTTAATTTGTTAAAAGTTAAAAAAGCGATCCGCTCAATAAACTCTTTAGTAATTTGTCAACTAAAAAGCCATTTGGCTTCTAAATGTTTCATGGCTGTCATCTTTAGTCATTTTTGGTACTTCACATTAAGGTGAGTCATTTCACCCGAATGTTCACCCCTCAGTGAATGACACTTTTACCCCTCCAGCCACAGTGTAAATGCCAGTCCGTATGGTCAAATATGAGGTAGGAGTTTCATATATGTGCATGAACCATATATGTGGTTCATACTTTCATAAAGGTCTCATGAGAGGTCAAGTCTGTTTTTCGTTCTCTCTTACAGTGCATTGAAAAGTTACAGCATCCAGCACGTCCCAGACGGCACCGTCATCGTGGAATCCATTGTTATTAAAGTGACGTCCTCGGCCGAGGTGCCCAACCTCAAAGTCATTCTGCTCTCCTGGAGCTATCAGGTGAACAAATGTGATGAACTAAATCTCCACTGATCTACCTTCATAATTTAATGTGGATTACATTGTGTCAACTGTTTTCAAACAGCTTAAATTCTTTAATTTCTATTTTGGGTTTGTTTATGTGGAAAACTGCACTTGTTTTTTGTTTTTGGCTCGTGGTCTAGTGGAATTTACAGCAGCTCACAGCCCACAAGGGAAAATTTTTTCACTTATGTTTCCAAACAAACACCGGTATCACCAACCGCCTGGCAAAACAAACATACATAAAATCACATTCTTCAGTATATTGCAGGCTGGCACAAATGGATTGCAATTGAAACAGCAACAAATGTGTGAGAGAAAGTGAATCTGTGGTGTTAACTTCTCGCATGGTTTACATTACTTTTGTCCAATATTGCATCTTATAGAAATGCCTCTGACTGCACTAAGACACGCTCAGTGGTTTCAGAGCTTGTACGTATTTAGACCCCTTTTTTAAATTAGCTTAATTTTATTCAGCAATGATGCACTGGATTGATCAAAAACAGTAAAAACATTTATAATGTTACAAAAGATTTTTATTTAAAATAAATGCTGTTCCTTTGAACGTTCTAATCTTCAAGGAATCCTGAAAAAAAAATAAGAACTTTTTCTTGAGCAGCAAATCAGCATTTCTGAAGCTCAAGTGACACTGACGACTAGTGATGGCTGCTGAAAATTCAGCTTTGCATCAGAAAAATAAATGACATTTTATTAATGAATAATATAAAATATATTAAAATAGACATCTGTTATTTTAAAGTGTAATAATATCTTGCAGTGTGACTGGTTTTACTGAATTTTTGCTGAAATAAATGCAACCTTGATGATCATAAGATACTTAAAAAAAAATGTTTTTGTGTATACATTACATTTTACGTTCATTTTTGCTTGGTTGGAACAGCAGCTACGCTAATTATGTTTGTATTTGTTTCTCTGTCTTTTGCCACGGGATTAACATCCCGTGGTAACTAGGATTTACACAAGCTTCAGTCTGGATCCAGATTACCTGAGAAGAGATGATGCAACTCCTCAGAGGACCTCAGATGATGCCAACCCTGAAACAACATCCAGAACTACCACATTTTGCTATAAGTTTGATTGCATCATATAATAATTGCTGTTAATATTGTTCATCGTCTGTTTTATTACGTCTTATATTGATTTTTCCGTTCTGCTGGTTCGTCTGGTCAGAGGAGAACTGGCCCCCCGACTGAGCCTGGTTTCTCCCAAGGTTTTTTCTCCATTCTGTCACTGATGGAGTTTTGGTTCCTTGCCGCTGTCGCCTCTGGCTTGCTTAGTTGGGGACACTTCATTTCCAGCGTTATCGTTGACATAATTGCAAAGATATTATTTAAACTGAACTAAGCTGGATGTTGACATCACTGAATTCAATGATGAACTGTCTTTAACTGAAAAATGAGTGTTTACTATTGTCATTTTGCATTATTGACACTATTTTCCTAATTAATACTGTTCAGTTGCTTTGTCACAATCTGTATTGTTAAAAGCGCTATATAAATAAAGGTGACTTGACTTGACTTGACATTACATTTTACGTTTTGAGATGTACTATTTTAACCTGTTTTTCATTGTGTCCCTCAGGATGAAGAATTGGGCAGTTTCTTGTCTACGTTGTTGAAGAAACGTCTGCCTTCGTGACTGGTGACACTTGATGACATTTGATGTTTGTCGTTGGTTAAAAAAATAACAATACAATTTTTTTAGTAAAATTGACCGAGAAGGCTGTCATTTGTGAAAATGTATTTATTTCTTAGCTGTAGATAAAAGTTAAACAAAGTTCAAAAAATGGTATTCAGAATTTGAAACAGAATGCTGTGATGATACTGACATTTACATCTACTAATATATGTAATAATTCAGTGATATGAAATGAGACACAAAGTTTACATTTATGAAAAAAAAATGGCATGGACCACTGAAATGACAGTCAGTAAAATTCAGAACTGACTCAATTGGGAATCAGCCTAGCTGCCAAGATCATTTTAAAAAAGCCAAATATTGGCCAATATATCAGTCTATCATTAAGTTTGCTGTTATGTAATAAAAATGACAGTCATTCTTGTTTGATTTTGCACTGTATTAGTACAATTATATGAGAAAAATCCTGACTCCGTTTCATCAAGCCACATTGGAGTCCATATATCTGTAGCGCCGTTTTTTGGCTTTACAGATTAATTTTATGTGCTGTCTTTCCTCTCTTTTATGCTTTTTAATTGAAATAGTTCAGTTGGAACGAAGCTTGCAGACGTTCAAAAGCCATTGGAAATGGAATAAACACCCGTTTTCTTCTTCAGCCTCAGTCTTCTGAGCCTCCACTTGTAGTGACCCGTGGCAAAGTAGTACAAAAGCGGGTCCAAAATGCTGTTTAGACTGACCAGAGCCATGGTCACCCTACGGAGGATGAAAATCACGTCATTCTCTTTGATGTCTCTCAAGCGTGTCAAGAGGTACACAAGATGCACGACATGATAAGGAAGGAAACACAGAAGTGTGATGGTTAGGATGGCATAAATGATCCGCCGTGCCCCACGGGCGGTGGAGTTGTTGATCCGGGCGATGCGACGGGCCACGATGGGGTAACAAACCAGGATGACCGCAGAGGGCAGAAGGGATCCCAAAATGAGACTGCTTATGCTGTAGGGCGCCAAGCCGCTCCACTCTTTTTGATTGAAGCCCTCAAAACACATGTTCCCTTTGCTTGATAATGGGCATTTTAACATGAACGCCAACATAGCCGACCCAGAGACCAGCCATACAGTGGTGCTCACCAGCGCTGTGAGATTCGTGTTGCGAAGCTTCAGGTAGGTGTGAGGGTGGAGGGTGGCGATGTAACGGTCCACGCAGATGCAGGTCATGAAGCTGATGCTGATGTAGATGTTGGCGAAGAAGATCGTGCCGGTGATGCGACACATGGCATCGCCAAATATCCAGTTGCTGTCATTGAGGTGGTAGTGGATACGAAATGGCAAGGCGAACAAGAAAAGCGTGTCGGCCACAGCCAGGTTAATGATGTATATGTTTGAAGGAGATTTCTGTTTGATTTTAAAGATGAAGTAATACAAAGCTCCGAGATTTCCAATCAATCCGAAAAACAAGACCAGACTGTAGACGGGTGTGAAGAGATAGTGCTGGAAATCGATTCGGAAGCTGGTTATGTTTTTCATGATGTTGTGGTCCTTGGGTATATAGGTTTTTAAAGATTTTTAGAGATTTGCTCACATCAACTGCCAAGATGACTTGCTAGAATTGTAATAAATGCATTGTTCTTTATTTTGGTTGGTATTGTGCTTTTCGGATCCCCATCGGGATAGAGGTGAAAGTCCGTGAGTTTCTGCTGTGAAAAGAAAATATTAGTGACATTTATCATGTAAATCACCCTAACATGTGAAGAATCTTGCACAAGATTTTTATCATGCAAACAGGTTTAGTGTATGACTGTTCCAGCTGCCAGGTTCGGTACAAATTCAATTGACAGCATTTGTTGCTTAAGAATTAATTAATTAATTAATAAAATAAAAATCGAATCGTCCCACGTTGTCTTGGAAATGTAAAGAACAAAAACAAACTGTGGCACGTTGAGGGTCCAGTTGCATTAACATAGCCACTATGTTAACCAGTTTGACCAACTAGCAGTTAGCCAAGGGTTGTCTTACTTTTCCATTCAAATTAGACCAATCTGCCTTTCTGTGATTATTTTAAAAAGCTATGACCAGTCTAGAAGAAAAAAAATTGCATGACTAACTTTTCAAGACTAAGCATTTCATGCTAATTTAGTCATTTTTTGAATAATATAAAATAAGAAATGTGAAGCTTATAATTTTATAAAAGCACTTACTTGTGTGCAATATTTGAATTTTTACAAGTACACAAAATGGGGTTGTTAATTCATGTTAACGCATCGTTTACGTGTTGTGGCTACACTTCTAAAACAGTGAGTATTTAATCCTTTATGGATTAATTGATCAATTCACTTCCATTGTAAGTGCCTCACTAAGAAATTAACATTGTGAGGTAATCAACGAGTGCTGTCGATTGAGTTTAACTTGTACTGAACACTGAATATTCAGTTAAAGCAAAAACTGATTTTTGTGATTTATAATTTAAGAAACGTATTAATTTATACAGAATTGTCAAATTGAAGCATACGCCACACACACAAAATAGTTTAAATAACTTTGATGTACTTACAGTAGGCTACTTGAAGGAGCGACCTTGAGTTCATGTAAAAAGCACACAAGTATTATGAAAGCTAGCTGTTGTTCTGTCAGTGGTGGAAACTTATTCTGAAGCAGTGTGGTTTTACGCAGTGATATGAAAAGACAGAACAGGAAATCCAGAAAGTGCAGCCTCCCCCGGTGTTTTGAGGGCGCCGTGGGGTACATGCAGACATTTTAGCACGTGGAAATTATGCATTACATGTTCCACTCAATGAACTGTAGGGCCTAGAGACTTTAAAGGTGGTTGTGTAAAATGAGTCACTCTGGAACTGAAGGGTGGTCGTACAGTGCATTGATTGAGAGTGAAAGTGCACTGTATGATCAATACATATCAGTCATTACTCACGTTTAGCTGATCGCATTACTGCTTTTCTGTTCCTCTTGTGTAGAATCAGATTTGCTGATCTAAATTTCCCCCCAAAAAGTTGACTGTATGTGATAAACATCTCCCATCATGGTCTGTTTGACACTAGGTGGCGCAGAAAACCTGCTATAACAGATATTATGGAATACAAGTAACATTTCTCCAGCCAAATTATATTTTATCATATATATATCAAATTTTATCTGCTTTTATTTTGTATGATTAATGGTGCTTTCCAAGGCAGTCATCACTATTACTATTTCTATTTTAACAAAGCTCAAACCCCAAATAATCTAATCCTTCATGTGTTGACAATTCGATTTTAATTTTTCAAATATATTTCAAAATATACAAAAAATGTATGCATATTTTTGAATGAAACAAAAAAAAAGTACATTGAAAAATAATTAATTTAGTAGCTACAAACTCGTGAGGACAATCAATTTCATTTAGGATTCTGTAAATGCCATTTAACTGGATGGAAATGGCTGCGCTGAAGTTTGAATCAGGGAGGAGAAGAATGAGATTTGTGTTTTGGTTTAAGGGCCACATTGTGTCTGATGGCCTTTATGTAGTGACAGATGAATTCAGTGAATACAACCCCATCATTCCACACTTCCTGTGAGGATGAGCTTGGCATTCATGTTGGAAAATGGCTCTGAAATGCAGCTTTGCCATTGTGGAATTTATAAACTGATTGTGAAAGAACAGAATTTTGTTGGTTTGCATTTCAGCTCTTGATCAGTGGCTGAAAATCGATAGGATAAAGCGCAGACAAGGATGTTAATCAAGATGATAAGGAAACTATGCGTTCACCATTAAGATAACATGGAAAGATCTGAAATAGTCTTTCTTCCCTAAATGTATTATTGAATTGTCTAAAATGACTGTTTACATTAAAAATCTGAGTTATTTTAGTATCAGTGATATATTATTTTTTATATTTTAAATTCATTTTTATTTTTGTATTGAATGTTGTCATTTTTATTAATTTTTTTACATGGCTATATAGCTTTTAGAGAAGTAACAATTTATATTTGGATGCTTTTACACAAAGTTGCATTGCATTACATGATATTTTGGTTACACTTTACATGAAGCCTTTATATATATATCATGCATTATAAAAGTATTTTTAATACATTAATTATGCCTTATAATGCACCTCATTATGCACTGGTGTATAATTATAATAATGTATAATAATTGTGACCATAGTTACAGCATAATACATTATAAAACCATTTATTTATATATTTATATTTGGGTTATACGAGCCTGTCTAAATGTTGAGGGAAAAACACTAGTGTGAAGGGATATGTTAATGATGTGAGTGAGTGCAGGTACAACTACAGGAGAAATGGCTTGAAGGAGATGAGAATGAATAGGATCAAGCGGACAAGTAGTAGGATGATTAGAGAGGATTAGTTTGGAGACTTCTGCAAAAAAGGATGTGAATAAGTGTAATAACATTTAGAAATGCACAAGACAAACTACCAGTTTCAGACATTACAATGAATCTGCAATCTATTATAATGCAGTTGCACTTGGTTACAATTATTTATGAAAAGATAAATACAACACTTATTTTCTTATTTAAAAAATGTCCTTAAATCTTAAAGCAAACATAATACATAATGCTTTACAAAATGTCATGTACAAATCAAGTCATGCAACAAAATGTTGAGACAGGATGTTTGCACTGAACTGCATGACAGATGATCTTTGATGCATTCATCTGTAATGTGCTGTAAGGATGTGCGCTTTGACCTTGCTTCTTGTCCTTTAGGCAAATAAATCTACTGGCCTTCTTCAGCAACTGAAGCATCTCAAGGCCAAATGAAAAGTGCGAGGATGGTAAAACTGTTGAATCACAGGAAATTCAAATGAAACTGAAAGTGAGCAGTCACCTTCCATAACATCCTGCCCTACATGTGATCTCTCATCTAACGACCTGATGAATGTGAGTAGTATGGTTAATAGGAGAGTTGACTGAATCTAAGGTTGGGAATCTGACCTATTGGAGCAGATGGTGTTTCCCGCCCTCACCACCTGCTCAAGAGAAGCTTAGGATTTTCTGGAAACCATGTGAGGTCAGATGCTGTTTGTT